CATCACCATCACTACCATCATCATCACCATCACTACCATCATCATCACCATCACTACCACCATCATTACCATCACTACCATCATCACTACCATCATCATCACCATCACTACCATCATCATCACCACCATCATCATCACCATCATCATCACCATCACTACCATCATCACTACCATCATCAGCACTATCACTACCATCATCACCATCACTAGCATCATCATCACCATCACTACCATCATCATCACCACCATCACTACCATCACCATCATTACCATCACGATCACTACCATCACCATCACTACCATCATCATCACCATCACTACCATCATCATCACCATCACTACCATCATCATCACCATCACTACCATCATCATCACCATCACTACCATCATCATCACCATCACTACCATCATCATCACCATCACTACCATCACCATCACCATCACTACCATCACCATCACTACCATCATCACTACCATCACCATCACTACCATTATCATCACCATCACTACCATCATCACCATCACTACCATCATCATCATCACCACCATCATCACCATCACTACCATCATCACCATCACTACCATCATGATCACCATCACTACCATCATCACCATCACTACCATCATCATCACCATCACTACCATCATCACCGTCATCATCACCACCATCACCATCACCACCTTCACCACCATCACCACCACCATCACTACCATCATCATCACCATCACCACCATCACTATCACCATCACTACCATCATCATCACTACCATCATAATCATCACCATCATCGCTACCATCATCGCTACCATCATCACTGCCATCATCACTACCATCACCACCATCACTACCACCATCATCACTACCATCACCACCATCATCACTATCATCACTACCATCATCACCATCATCACCATCATCATCACTACCACCATCACTTCCATCATCATCACCACCATCACTATCACCATCACCACCATCACTACCATCATCATCACTACCATCATCACCATCATCGCTACCATCATCATTACCATTATCACGATCATCATTACCTTCACCACCACCATCATCATCACTACCATCACCACCATCACTACCATCATCGCTACCATTACTTCCATCACCACCATCACTATCATCACCACCATCACTATCATCACCACCATCACTACCATCACCACCATCACTACCATCATCGCTACCATCACTACCATCATCAGCATCGCTACCATCATCACTATCATAACCATTACCATCACTAACATCATCATCACCACCATCACTACCATCAACACTACCATCACCACTACCATCACTACCATCACCACTACCATCACTACTACCATCACCACTACCATCACTACCATCACCACCATCATCATCACTATCATCATCGCTACCATCATCACTACCATCATCACCATCATCACCACCATCACTACCATCATCATCACCACCACTACCATCATTATCACCACTACCATCATCATTATCACCACTACCAATCTACGATCACCATCATTACTACCATCATTACCACCATCACCATCATTACTACCATCATCATTATCACCACCACCCTCACCTCCACCATCACCACCCACGTCATCACCACCCACATCGTCACCACCCACCTTACCACCACCAACACCATCACCACCCACATCACCACCCACCTCACATCACCACCACCCACACCATCACCACCCACATCACCACCACCCACATCACCACCACCCACACCATCACCATCCACATCACCACCCACATCACCACCACACACACCATAACCACCCACATCTTCACCACCCACACCATCACCACCCACACCATCGCCACCCACATCACCACCCACACCATCACCACCCACACCATCACCACCCACACCACCACCCACCTCACCACCACCCACACCATCACCACCCACACCACCACCACACACACCATCACCACCCACATCATCACCACCCACACCACCACCACCACCACCCACATCACCACCACCCACACCATCACCACCCACACCATCACCACTCACACCATCACCACCCACACCATCACCACCCACATCATCACCACCCACACCATCACCACCCACACCATCACCACCCACACCATCACCACCCACATCATCACCACCCACACCATCACCACCCACACCACCACCACACACACCATCACCACCCACATCACCACCACACCATCACCACCCACACCACCACCCACCTCACCACCACCCACACCATCACCACCCACACCACCACCACACACACCATCACCACCCACATCATCACCACCCACACCACCACCACCACCCACATCACCACCACCCACACCATCACCACCCACACCATCACCACCCACATCATCACCACCCACACCATCACCACCCACACCATCACCACCCACACCATCACCACCCACACCACCCACACCATCACCACCCACACCATCACCACCCACATCACCATCACCCACACCATCACCACCCACATCACCACCCACCTCACCACCACCGACACCATCACCACCCACACCATCGCCACCCACATCACCACCCACACCATCACCACCCACACCACCACCACCCACACCATCGCCACCCACATCACCACCACCCACACCATAACCACCCACACCATCACCACCCACACCATCACCACCCACACCATCACCACCCACACCATCACCACCCACACCATCACCACCCACATCATCACCACCACCCACATCACCACCCACACCATCACCACCCACACCATCACCACCCACACCATCACCACCCACACCATCACCACCCACACCATCACCACCCACATCATCACCACCACCCACATCACCACCCACACCATCACCACCCACATCATCACCACCCACACCATCACCACCACCCACATCACCACCCACACCATCACCACCCACATCGTCACCACCCACACCATCACCACCCACACCGTCACCACCCACACCATCACCACCCACACCATCACCACCCACACCACCCACACCATCACCACCCACACCATCACCACCCACATCATCACCACCCCCGGCATGATAACGTATTTGTATTGCTCAGGGGAGTAGTGAGCGGGTGGTTAGTAGTGACCCACCAGGCCTGAGTTCGATTTCTAAACCAGGCCTGTGAGCTGTGTGTGGGTTGTGTGTGTGTGGGTGGTGTGTGGGTGGTGTGTGGGTGGTGTGTGGGTGGTGTGGGTGGGTGGTGTGTGGGTTGTGCGGTAGGTGGGTGGTGCGGTGCGTGGGTGGTGTGTGGGTTGTGTGTGGGTGGGTGGTGGGTGGGTGGTGTGTGGGTGGTGTGTGGGTGGTGTGTAGGTGGTGTGGGTGGTGTGTGGGTTGTGCGGTAGGTGGGTGGTGCGGTGCGTGGGTGGTGTGTGGGTGGTGTGTGGGTGGGTGGTGGGTGGGTGGTGTGTGGGTGGTGTGTGGGTGGTTCCTGGGTTGTGTGTGGGTTGTGTGTGGGTGGCTGGTGTGTGGGTGTTGTGTGGGTGGTGTGTGAGTGTGGTGTGGGTGGTACCTGGGTTGTGTGTGGGTTGTGTGTGGGTGGGTGGTGTGTGGGTGGTACCTGGGTTGTGTGTGGGTTGTGTGTGGGTGGTGTGTGGGTGGTGTGTGGGTGGTACCTGGGTTGTGTGTGGGTGGGTGGTGTGTGGGTGTGGTGTGGGTGGTGTGTGGGTGGTACCTGGGTTGTGTGTGGGTTATGTGTGGGTGGGTGGTGTGTGGGTGGTACCTGGGTTGTGTGTGGGTTGTGTGTGGGTGGGTGGTGTGTGGGTGGTGTGTGGGTGGTGTGTGGGTGGTACCTGGGTTGTGTGTGGGTTGTGTGTGGGTGGGTGGTGTGTGGGTGGTACCTGGGTGGTGCGGTGCGTGGGTAGTGTGTGGGTGGTGTGTGGGTGGTGTGTGGGTGGTGGGGTGCGACAGCTGTATGTGTGTTGTTGGTATGACGGCTGTCTGTGTGTTGTTGGTATGATGGCTGTCTGTGTGTTGTTGTTGTTGGTATGACGGCTGTCTGTGTGTTGTTGTTGGTATGGCAGCTGTCTGTGTGTTGTTGTTGTTGGTATGACGGCTGTCTGTGTTGTTGTTGATATGACAGCTGTCTGTGTGTTGTTGTTGGTATGACGGCTGTCTGTGTGTGGTTGTTGTTGGTATGACGGCTGTCTGTGTTTTGTTGTTAGTATGACAGCTGTCTGTGTGTGGTTGTTGTTGGTATGACGGCTGTCTGTGTTGTTGTTGGTATGACGGCTGTCTGTGTTGTTGTTGGTATGACAGCTGTCTGTGTGTTGTTGTTGGTATGACGGCTGTCTGTGTGTTGTTGTTGTTGGTATAACGGCTGTCTGTGTGTTGTTGTTGTTCGTATGACGGCTGTCTGTGTGTGGTTGTTGGTATGACAGCTGTCTGTGTGTGGTTGTTGGTATGATGGCTGTCTGTGTGTGGTTGTTGGTATGACGGCTGTCTGTGTGTTGTTGTTGCTATGACGGCTGTCTGTGTGTGGTTGTTGGTATGACGGCTGTCTGTGTGTGGTTGTTGTTGCTATGACGGCTGTTTGTGTGTGGTTGTTGGTATGACGGCTGTCTGTGTGTGGTTGTTGTTGCTATGACGGCTGTCTGTGTGTGGTTGTTGGTATGACGGCTGTCTGTGTGTGGTTGTTGGTATGACGGCTGTCTGTGTGGTGTGGGGAGCGGTAGTGCCAACAGTTGGTGCTACGCTGCGCTACGAACCCGGCCCACCTGAGTTCGATTCCCGCTCACGGCCACCAGCACCTATCTGGGACCGGTACTGGGAATCCCCTAGGTCGACTCGGCCTCAAATGAATACGCGGCGCGGTGCGGTGTGTGGTGATCACTACGAACTAGGAAGACAAAGGCGGCCGGGCGTGGTTGTTGTGGCCGCTCGTGTCCAGTGCCGGCCTTCCGAGCGAGCAGCACTTGCCCCCACGCGGCACTCTGTTAAAGGCTACACGGGGGATCTTTGCCTTCGGTGCGGTGAGCAGACCTCGAGCAGAGCCGGTTGACTGCCCGCCCGAAGCCGCCACCACCACGAGCAGCAGCAGCAGCAGCTTCAGCGACACCACCATGAACCCCATGTATGGCCCTATGCCCCCAGGCTCCGGCTATATGGGGCCCAAGCTGGGCATCGGCTCATACCACGGTCAGCGTGAGACGCACGCAGATACACAGATACACACAGTGGTACACACACAGATACACACAGTGGTACACACAGATACACACAGTGGTACACACACAGATACACACAGTGGTACACACAGTGGTACACACACAGATACACACAGTGGTACACACACAGATACACACAGTGGTACACACACAGATACACACAGTGGTACACACACAGATACACACAGTGGTACACACACAGATACACACAGTGGTACACACACAGATACACACAGTGGTACACACACAGATACACACAGTGGTACACACAGATACACACAGTGGTACACACACAGATACAGTGGTACACACACAGATGCACACAGTGGTACACACAGTGGTACACACAGTGGTACACACAGATACACACAGTGGTACACACAGATACACACAGTGGTACACACACAGATACACACAGTGGTACACACACAGATACACACAGTGGTACACACAGATACACACAGTGGTACACACACAGATACAGTGGTACACACACAGATACACACAGTGGTACACACACAGATACACACAGTGGTACACACACAGTGGTACACACAGTGGTACACACACAGATACACACAGTGGTACACACACAGATACACACAGTGGTACACACACAGATACACACAGTGGTACACACAGATACACACAGTGGTACACACACAGATACACACAGTGGTACACACACAGTGGTACACACACAGATGCACACAGTGGTACACAGACAGATACACACAGTGGTACACATAGATACACACAGTGGTGGGGAGCGGTAATGTAGCGGTTAGCGCGCTGCGCTATGAACCTGGCAACCCGGGTTCGATTCCCGCTCACGGCCAACACAAGTGACGATTATCTGAACCGGTCCCGGGCCTCCCCTAGGTCGACTCAGCCTCAAATGAGTACCTGGTGCGGTGTGTAAACATTGCCACTAGGGAGACAAAGGCGGTCGGGCGTGGTGCTGGCCACCCACCCCCTCGTGTACCGTTCCGACCTTCATAGGTGCTCGCTAACAGCACTTGCCCCTACAGTCTGTTAAGGCTATATGGGGGATCTTTGTCTTTGTCTTTTTTTTGTGTGTGTGTACACGTGTGTGTACACTGTGTGTGTGTGTGTACACTGTGTGTGTGTACACTGTGTGTGTGTGTGTACACTGTGTGTGTGTACACTGTGTGTGTGTGTACACGTGTGTGTGTGTGTACAGCGAGCTACTCTGCTGCATTCCCTCCTGGAGCTCCCTCCTACCCCCAGGCCGTGTACGCAAGCAGCGGAGCCACCTACCCCACAGGTACACACACACACACGTGTACACACACACACACACAGTGTACACACACACAACAACAACAACAACAACCGCCATTCGCCACTAAGTGGCGGTGACATCACCACGACGCTTGTGCCAGGCTATGTGCACCCTGAGGCCACGTGAAGTGTCGAACGCCCGCTGGCAGGAGGTCACGGGGCAGACCCAGGTGCCACGGGTCGACTGACTGAGATGACTGGCTGATGCACCACCTGTGCCCCCTACTGTGCCAACCTGCTGTGCTTTAGCCACCCGGCGCTCCGCTCGCTGTTGTGAGCGTCGCTCCTCCGCCCTCCGTTGTTGTTGGAGGGCGACTGCCTCCAACTGCCCAGTAGCATCCTTCACGAGCCTCCTCCACAGAGGCCGATCTTGACACCGCTGGTACCAGTCATCGGCAAGTCCACTCAGCTCCACGTCCTCCTGTACCACATCACTCCATCTCTTCTCTAGCCCGTGCCGCGCCCGCTTAGCCCCCTCAATCCGGCCAAACAAAAGCTGTTTCGGCATGCGGTGGCTGGGCATGCGGGCTACATGACCCAGCCATCGCAGCCTTGCCTGCCGGAGGAGCTCACCGATGGGACCCTGCCCAGATCTTTCAAGGATTTGTGAGCTCCTCACACAATCCAGTCTGGTTAAACCCAGGATGGATCGTAGGCAGGCCAGCCTAAATGTTTCTAACCGGCGAAGATGTTCCATTAGGGGGGTCCACGTTTCGCAAGCGTAGAGAAGGGAGGGAATGACCGTGGCCGAGAAGACCTGAAGCTTAGTGCGGAGCGACAGACCAGGTAGCTTCCACACAGCGTTACGCAACCGATGAAAAGATATTGCCGCTCGACTGATTCGGAGTGAGACCTCTGCTCTTAAACTGGAGCCAGTCATAAGCACACTGCCCAGGTATGGGAAACTCTCCACTCTCTCCACAACTGCCCCATCACCAATTGGGAGTTGTGGGGGTGGAGTGTCCGATGGTACAAAATACCCAGGCAGGTGCTTAGTTTTGGTGGGGCTGATGGTAAGGCCCCACCTCTTAGTGGCACGCTCCAGTCTCAGCAGCAGCGTCTCCAACTCCTCCTCTGACTGAGCAGCTATTACCAAGTCATCAGCATACATAACGTGGTTGAGCAATAGGGAGCCATCCCTTGACCGCACCCGGGCATCGATTAGCCTCCCATTATATCTGTACCATATGGAGATTCCCCCGGTACAGCTATTGAAGGCTTCACGAACTACGTGGTCAAAATAGATGTTAAATAATGTGGGAGCCAGAGGACAACCCTGTCGCACCCCAAGGTGTACAGGGAATGGCTCTGACTCCCGGCCACGTAGTTTTACCCGGGCCCGCTCACCATCATGAAGGTCCTTAATGATCGTGAGCAGAGGGTCAGGTACTCCAAAAGCACGAAGAACGACCCAGAGCCCAGGCCTACTGATGGTATCATAGGCCTTGACCAGGTCAATAAAGCAGAGATGTAGGTCTTGTTGGAATTCCCTACACCTCTGCTGTAGCAGACAGACAGAAAATATGGCATCTGTGCAGGACCGCCCTTTCCTGAAACCGCATTGGGGCTCCGCAAGCCTCTCCTCAGCGTGCCTGGCAAGGCGATGCTGAATAATCCTTGCCAGGACCTTTCCCGGCACACTGAGGAGTGAGATGCCCCTGTAGTTGTTACAGGCTGTGCGGTCCCCCTTCTTAAAAAGGGGGACCACCAGGGCATCCTTCCAATCCTGCGGAACCCGTCCAGTGGTCCAGACTGTTGTTATGATGTCATATAGGGCAGTCTGTGCACAAACGCCACCCTCCCTCAGCATTTCGCTTGGGAGATCATCTCTGCCCGCTGCCTTTCCTGGTCTCAGACTCCGGATCGCCTTCAATACTTCCTCAGCAGATGGCACCTCAGCCAGCCACTCACAGGGGGTGACTTCATCCAATATTTGAGGCACCGCAGCCTCAGCAGGGTCATCCTCACTTTGTGCCACGATGTTTTCCTGGCTGAGGGATTTTCCCTCCCCCAGGACCTCACAGAAATGCTCAGCAAATCTGCGAACCTGTTCCTGGGGGTCGGAAATTGGATCACCGTTTTTTCCCCTAATGATGGTAATAGGTGTGGCGCTGCAGGTTACTTTTTTGATGGAGTTAAATAGAGATTTGTGATCACGGGCCACTGAGGCAGACTCCATCTCCTCAGCAACCCGCGACCACCACCCATCCTTGCAGCGCCTCACGGCTCTCCGAACCTCCGAGCGAAGGCTGCGGTAAGCCTCCTCATTCTCTGACGTGGGATTCTGTAGCCGATGACAGTGGGCCTGTCGCTTTTTCTCAACCATCGTGAACAACTCCTCTGTCATCCAGGGTGTCTGGGGAGGTCTGGACCGCGTACCCAAAGCAGCCATTGCAGCTGCATGAGTCACAGTCCTAAACCTCGCCCATTTACCCTCGACATCAGGAGTCGGGGACGATGCCAATCCCAGCCGCAAGCGATGATGAAATTCTCGCTTGCAACTTTCATCAGATACCTGAGACCAGGCCACTTTAGGTTGGAATGGGGTCCTGGGTGTACACCCACCACCGGAGTGGAAGAATGGCAGGCGCATCTTACAGATGACTAGTCGATGGTCAGAGGGCAGATCAGCTCCACGGTAGGTCCTGGTGTCAAGGACATGGGCTCGCATTCGCTGGTCCGTCACTATGTAGTCCAGCAGATGTTCTTGCTTGGACCCGGCATGCATCCATGATGTTGTGTGGATGCGCCGATGCCGGAACAGCGTGTTGGTAATTACAAGCCCATGGGCTGCACAAAAATCTAGCAGCCTCCTACCGTTGTTATTGAGCTGATCTGGCCCATGCCCTCCAATCACTCCAGACCAGGTGCCAGTATCATGACCAACTCGGGCATTGAAGTCACCCAACATGATGACTCTATCCCGAGGGGCCACTTTAGCCAGCACCTGTGACAGGAGGTCATAGAAGGCATCTGACTCATCGGCTTTGCCTGCATCCCTCCACGGATGTTCATCTTCGGTGGGGGCATAAGTAACCACGACCACCATTCCTCGCCTCCGGTTGATGGGAAGGCGAGCCCAAAGTAGCCTGGGGCTTACAGCTTCCCACACCTCACCGCCACGCTCCCACGCCCCCTTCATTCTTTTGTTCAAAAGAAGACCCACACCCTGTTGTTTGGCAGTCTGCTGCCCCGAGTAGAGGACTGTCCACCCCTCATGGTGGCAGGAGCCAGAGCCGGTCCACCGGACCTCCTGAATGCCGCATAGATCCAGGCGGTACCGGTCCAGCTCCCGACAGAGGAGTGGCAGCCTCTCCTCTGCAGTGAGCGTTCGAACATTCCACGTGGCCAACCGTAGTGGCTTTTCGTTGTTTCTGGAGTAGCCCCGAGGGTAGGTATTCAATCTCCTGGCTCCGCCAATTGGGGTTTGGCCAGGAGACGTCATAGACGCCTGGCCCCCCGGGGCCTCCGGCACAAGCTTAGTTGTTACATATTTCAGTTTAATTCGTAGTTTCGTGGTAATTAATTGAAGGTGGAGGGGTTACCAGCCCCTCGCACCCGTCCAGAGCCCCCGTTTAGCCCCTGTGGTGGACACATATGCCATGAGGGGAGGAGCCAATCAAAATTGGATCTCCCCCCACAGCGCTGTCCACGACAGAGTTGCCCGTCCGGCACCGCGAGGAGGTAGGGGGTTGTTTTGCCGTGTACACACACACACAGTGTACACACAACAACAACCGCCATTCGCCACTAGGTGACGTCACCACGACGCTTGTGCCAGGCTATGTGCACCCTGAGGCCACGTGAAGTGTCGAACGCCCGCTGGCAGGAGGTCACGGGGCAGACCCAGGTGCCACGGGTCGACTGACTGAGATGACTGGCTGATGCACCACCTGTGCCCCCTACTGTGCCAACCTGCTGTGCTTTAGCCACCCGGCGCTCCGCTCGTTGTTGTGAGCGTCGCCCCTCCGCCCTCCGTTGTTGTTGGAGGGCGACTACCTCCAACTGCCCAGTAGCGTCCTTCACGATCTTGACATCGCTGGTACCGGTCATCGGCAAGTCCACTCAGCTCCACGTCCTCCTGTACCACATCAGCTCCATCTCCTCTCTAGCCTGTGCCGCGCCCGTTTAGCCCCCTCGGTCCGGCCAAACAAAAGCTGTTTAGGCCATGCGGTGGCTGGGCATGCGGGCTACATGACCCAGCCATCGCAGCCTTGCCTGCCGGAGGAGCTCACCGATGGGACCTTGCCCAGATATTTCAAGGATTTGTGAGCTCCTCACACAATCCAGTCTGGTTAAACCCAGGATGGATCGTAGGCAGGCCAGCCTAAATGTTTCTAACCGGCGAAGATGTTCCATTAGGGGGGTCCACGTTTCGCAAGCGTAGAGAAGGGAGGGAATGACCGTGGCCGAGAAGACCTGAAGCTTAGTGCGGAGCGACAGACCAGGTAGCTTCCACACAGCGTTACGCAACCGATGAAAAGATATTGCCGCTCGACAACTTGCCCCCGACGGTCTGTTAGAGGCTACACGGGGGACCTTTGCCTGTGTCTACCTTCACAGGTGCTGCTGCTACTCGCTACTAACTGCACTTGCCCCTACAGTATTTTAGAGGCTACACGGGGGACCTTTGCCTTTGTTGTGCCGGCAGGCTTCAGCCCCGGGACCCCGTACAAGATGCCCCCGCCGGCTAGCGGGGCCCCCCCTCCGTACACCCCGACCCCCAGCCACTACCAGCACCCCGGCATGTACCCCGTGAGGGGGGGCACGTACCCCCCGCAGGGACTCTACGCACAGGTACGCACCTGCTGCCCGTTCGACACGCGCGTGCGATACACACAGGTACGCACGTACCCATTCGACATGCACGATACCCACAGGTACGCACGTACCCATTGGACACGCACGCACGATACACACAGGTACGCACCTACCCATTCGACACACACGATACCCACAGGTACACACGTACCCATTCGACACACACGCACAATACACACAGGTACACACGTACCCATTCGACACACACGATACCCACAGGTACGCACGTACCCATTCGACACGCACGATACACACAGGTACGCACCTACCCATTCGACACACACGCACAATACACACAGGTACACACGTACCCATTCGACACACACGATACCCACAGGTACACACGTACCCATTCGACACGTACGCACGATACACACAGGTACGCACGTACCTATTGGACACGCACGCACGATACACACAGGTACACACGTACCCGTTCGACACGCACGCGCGATACACACAGGTACGCACGTACCCATTCGACACGCACGATACACACAGGTACGCACGTACCCATTGGACACACACGATACGCACAGGTACGCCACGTACCCGTTCGACACGGGTTGGTCGTACGCAGGAGTAGGAGCCCTGTAAGCTGGCTGGCCAGCAGTGTGCACGCGTTGCTGTTGGTGAGCTCTACCCCCCTGGGGTTTATTTCTCAGCAGGCAGGGCTCAGCGGCTTTCTCAGAGGCCACGCAATGACGAGAGACACTCAGTGCCGACCGGCTCGGCATGAGTGGTTCGTTGTCCTCGTCGTCGTCATCGTCATCATCGTCATCTCGTCATCGTCGTCGTCTTCGTCATCATCATTGTCATCGTCATCTCGTCATCGTCGTCGTCTTTGTCATCATCATCTCGTCATCATCGTCGTCATCATCGTCGTCATCATCGTCGTCATTATCATCATCGTTGTCGTCGTCATCATCATCTTGTCATCATCATCTCGTCATCATCGTCGTCATTATCATCATCGTTGTCGTCGTCATCATCATATCGTCATCATTGTCGTCATCATCATCTCGTCATTATCATCGTCATCTTGTCATCATCATCATCTCATCATCATCGTCATCATCATCTCGTCATCATCGTCGTCTTAGTCATCATCATTGTCATCGTCGTCGTCTTCGTCATCATCATTATCATCATCGTTGTCGTCATCATCATCTCGTCGTCATCATCTCGTCGTCATCATCATCTCGTCATCATCGTCGTCATCATCTCGTCGTCATCATCATCTCGTCATCATCGTCGTCATCATCATCTCGTCATCATCGTCGTCATTATCATCATCGTTGTCGTCGTCATCATCTCGTCATTATCATCGTCATCTTGTCATCATCATCATCTCATCATCATCGTCATCATCATCTCGTCATCATCGTCATATTCGTCATCATCGTCATATTTGTCATCATCATTGTCATCATCATCTCGTCATCGTCGTCGTCTTCGTCATCATCATTATCATCATCGTTGTCGTCATCATCATCTCGTCGTCATCATCATCTCGTCATCATCGTCGTCATCATCGTCGTCATCATTGTCGTCATCATCATCTCGTCATCATCGTCGTCATCATCATCTCGTCATTATCGTCACTATCATCGTCATCAATCTTCGGCACCATCATTGTCGTCATTATCGTCATCGTCGTCATCATCGTCATCGTCCTTGTCATCATCATCATCTCATCATCATCGTTGTCGTCATCATCGTCGTCATCGTCATCATCGTCGTCGTCATCATCTCGTCATTATCGTCATCATCTCGTCATCATCGTCGTCACCATCATCGTCATAAATCTTCGTCACCATCATCATCGTCATTATTGTCACCGTCGTCATCATCGTCATCATCGTCCTGCTCATCGTCGTCATCATCGTCGTCATCATCGTCGTCCTCGTCGTCCCCCCATTGAACGTGTTTGTAGCAGCAGGCAAAGACAGTGGTACCCTGGCGGGGTGAGCGACAAGGTTTGTCTGTTTAACACGTAGGCTTTGGCGACAAGGTTTGTCTGTTTAACACGTAGGCTTTGGTGACAAGGTTTGTCTGTTTAACACGTAGGCTTTGGCGACAAGGTTTGTCTGTTTAACACGTAGGCTTTGGTGACAAGGTTTGTCTGTTTAACACGTAGGCTTTGGCGACAAGGTTTGTCTGTTTAACACGTAGGCTTTGGTGACAAGGTTTGTCTGTTTAACACGTAGGCTTTGGCGACAAGGTTTGTCGGTTTAACACGTAGGCTTTGGCGACAAGGTTTGTCTGTTTAACACGTAGGCTTTCGCGACAAGGTTTGTCTGTTTAACACGTAGGCTTTGGCGACAAGGTTTGTCTGTTTAACACGTAGGCTTTGGTGACAAGGTTTGTCTGTTTAACACGTAGGCTTTGGTGACAAGGTTTGTCTGTTTAACACGTAGGCTTTGGCGACAAGGTTTGTCTGTTTAACACGTAGGCTTTGGTGACAAGGTTTGTGTTTAACACGTATGCTTTGGTGACAAGGTTTGTCTGTTTAACACGTAGGCTTTGGTGACAAGGTTTGTCTGTTTAACACGTAGGCTTTGGCGACAAGGTTTGTCTGTTTAACACGTAGGCATTGGCGACAAGGTTTGTCTGTTTAACACGTAGGCTTTGGCGACAAGGTTTGTCTGTTTAACACGTAGGCTTTGGTGACAAGGTTTGTCTGTTTAACATGTAGGCTTTGGCGACAAGGTTTGTCTGTTTAACACGTAGGCTTTGGCGACAAGGTTTGTCTGTTTAACACGTAGGCTTTGGCGACAAGGTTTGTCTGTTTAACATGTAGGCTTTGGCGACAACGTTTGTCTGTTTAAAACGTAGGCTTTGGTGACAAGGTTTGTCTGTTTAACACGTAGGCTTTGGCGACAAGGTTTATCTGTTTAACACGTAGGCTTTGGTGACAAGGTTTGTCTGTTTAACACGTAGGCTTTCGTGACAAGGTTTGTCTGTTTAACACGTAGGCTTTGGCAACAAGGTTTGTCTGTTTAACACGTAGGCTTTGGTGACAAGGTTTGTCTGTTAAACACGTAGGCTTTGGTGACAAGGTTTGTCTGTTTAACACGTAGGCTTTGGTGACAAGGTTTGTCTGTTTAACACGTAGGCTTTGGCGACAAGGTTTGTCTGTTTAACACGTAGGCTTTGGTGACAAGGTTTGTCTGTTTAACACGTAGGCTTTGGCGACAAGGTTTGTCGGTTTAACACGTAGGCTTTGGGACAAGGTTTGTCTGTTTAACACGTAGGCTTTCGCGACAAGGTTTGTCTGTTTAACACGTAGGCTTTGGCGACAAGGTTTGTCTGTTTAACACGTAGGCTTTGGTGACAAGGTTTGTCTGTTTAACACGTAGGCTTTGGTGACAAGGTTTGTCTGTTTAACACGTAGGCTTTGGCGACAAGGTTTGTCTGTTTAACACGTAGGCTTTGGCGACAAGGTTTGTCTGTTTAACACGTAGGCTTTGGTGACAAGGTTTGTGTTTAACACGTATGCTTTGGTGACAAGGTTTGTCTGTTTAACACGTAGGCTTTGGTGACAAGGTTTGTCTGTTTAACACGTAGGCTTTGGCGACAAGGTGTGTCTGTTTAACACGTAGGCATTGGCGACAAGGTTTGTCTGTTTAACACGTAGGCTTTGGCGACAAGGTTTGTCTGTTTAACACGTAGGCTTTGGTGACAAGGTTTGTCTGTTTAACATGTAGGCTTTGGCGACAAGGTTTGTCTGTTTAACACGTAGGCTTTGGCGACAAGGTTTGTCTGTTTAACACGTAGGCTTTGGCGACAAGGTTTGTCTGTTTAACATGTAGACTTTGGCGACAAGGTTTGTCTGTTTAACACGTAGGCTTTGGTGACAAGGTTTGTCTGTTTAACACGTAGGCTTTGGCGACAAGGTTTGTCTGTTTAACACGTAGGCTTTGGTGACAAGGTTTGTCTGTTTAACACGTAGGCTTTGGCGACAAGGTTTGTCTGTTTAACACGTAGGCTTTGGCGACAAGGTTTGTCTGTTTAACACGTAGGCTTTCGCGACAAGGTTTGTCTGTTTAACACGTAGGCTTTGGCGACAAGGTTTGTCTGTTTAACATGTAGGCTTTGGCGACAACGTTTGTCTGTTTAAAACGTAGGCTTTGGTGACAAGGTTTGTCTGTTTAACACGTAGGCTTTGGCGACAAGGTTTATCTGTTTAACACGTAGGCTTTGGTGACAAGGTTTGTCTGTTTAACACGTAGGCTTTCGTGACAAGGTTTGTCTGTTTAACACGTAGGCTTTGGCAACAAGGTTTGTCTGTTTAACACGTAGGCTTTGGTGACAAGGTTTGTCTGTTAAACACGTAGGCTTTGGTGACAAGGTTTGTCTGTTTAACACGTAGGCTTTGGCGACAAGGTTTGTCTGTTTAACACGTAGGCTTTGGCGACAAGGTTTGTCTGTTTAACACGTAGGCTTTGGCGACAAGGTTTGTCTGTTTAACACGTAGGCTTTGGCGACAAGGTTTGTCGGTTTAACACGTAGGCTTTGGCGACAAGGTTTGTCTGTTTAACACGTAGGCTTTGGTGACAAGGTTTGTCTGTTTAACACGTAGGCTTTGGTGACAAGGTTTGTCTGTTTAACACGTAGGCTTTGGCGACAAGGTTTGTCTGTTTAACACGTAGGCTTTGGTGACAAGGTTTGTCTGTTTAACACGTAGGCTTTGGTGACAAGGTTTGTCTGTTTAACACGTAGGCTTTGGCGACAAGGTTTGTCTGTTTAACACGTAGGCTTTGGCGACAAGGTTTATCTGTTTAACACGTAGGCTTTGGTGACAAGGTTTGTCTGTTTAACACGTAGGCTTTCGTGACAAGGTTTGTCTGTTTAACACGTAGGCTTTGGTGACAAGGTTTGTCTGTTTAACACGTAGGCTTTGGCGACAAGGTTTGTCTGTTTAACACGTAGGCTTTGGCGACAAGGTTTGTCTGTTTAACACGTAGGCTTTC